TGTGCTTTGTCTGCGAATTCACAGTTCCTCCCTAGCAAGTGAGGGGCCCAGCTGAGAGTTATGGGAGCCCTTTCGCCAAACAGGGGAGTCTGAGTGGCTTCTGCTTCCCCCCACCCCCCAGGTGTCCCCAGAACTCTGGCATGCTACGAAGGACCCATCTCACATCACTGGGCTAGGGCCCCAGAGGCTCCCTGTGGTCTCAGCCTTGCTCGGGGTCATCCCAATGGCCCGAGGTGACCTCTCACCCCTCTACCCACACATACGGTGCTTTGGCAGGATTCTCCAGGGGGCAAGGACGGCAGTGCACATCCCATCCAGACACCTGCTGAGGATGTCTTCCTGTCGATGAGGGTGGTAAGGAAGCCCAGACCCATGAAAGGGGCTTCTCTGTTTCGGGGCTCAAGGCCCTGCCATCCAGAGGGCCCTGCATGGAGAGTGGCCCTCACTGCTCCTACCCTGGATTCCAGGAGGGTAAAGTTTTTGCTAGACCCACAGGGTGTCCCATCTCACCCTGGGATAGAGAGCAGGCCTGGACTTCAGGATAGCTTTTGGCTCTGCTGTCCAAATCCTCCGCCCTATAGAAGTCAGGCCCGAGGACCCACTTACCATAAAGGACCAGGGTGGCGAGCACCAAGAAGCGTAGCATGTTGCCGGCCGAGTAGACCACTGCCCCCTTGCCATGAACCAAGCCCTCTTTGTACTCCTCTTATCAGCAGCTTTGCTGACCGTCTTGCTGCCAGCTGTCAGGGCTGCAGATGGAAGGCTGGGGAAAATCACAGGTGACGTGGAAATACAAATGAAAAGATGTATTTTCAAGTAAACTAATATATCTGTTGTTCAAAGGCAGAACAAGGTCAGGTTAGGGCTGACTTAAGCATCTGCATTCAGTGGAAAGGCATCCAGTGAACTCTTTTTTTCAGAAAAAAGAGAGGGAACCAGGGCTGGTCTTTCCGTCAGGGTGCTCCCTTCACAGTCTGTCACTGTCTGCACTTACTGTCCTCAGTGACACTGTAAGTGCAGAGATCCATTCAGTGCACCAGGAGGTGGAGGCAAGGGGTGGGTGTGGAGGAGGGAAGAGTAGTTAGCAAAAAGAAGAGACCACGACCTCCCCCTGCCCAACGAGGAAGGTGGGCTATGCCTCCAGGACAGAGGTGTAAATGCAGGAGGACTAAACCAAGTAGGGATGGTGGAGAGAATTCTGGTGAATTCTAAGAAACGGGTTTGGGGAGACTCAGACAGAAAGCCAACCAGAGAGCTCCCAGAGAAGGAGACCATGAGGTGGGTTAGAAGGGGGAGCCGCAGGATAGGGAGATGGTCTGAGTGCTGTGAGCATGGAGGGCAGAGGGAGCAGGTGAGGAACAGGCCTGGCCTGTAGGTGATGAAGGGCCCTGACTGTCAAAGTCAGGAGAGGAGAAAGGAGGGAGGGGCAGGGCGCCTTGAGGCGGGCAGAGGACTTTGGGTCGGGAGGCCCAGAGCAGAGGGCCAGGAGCGGGGCTGTGATTGAGGCAAAGAGAAGCCAGGAAGCCTGGAGGGAGGCAGGAGAGTCATCTGGTTCACCTGGGGGTCTTTGTGGCCTAGACACTTTCCAGAATCCAAGGTTCATGCCTGCAGTTGCAAGAGAGGCCTGGAGAAAGCTGTAGGAAGGAGCTCCGTAGGCCATGCCATAGAGTTCGGGGCCATCACATTATGGCTCTCGGGGCACCCGGAGGACCCCCTTTCCAGTCTGACTGCCAGGATTCCAATAAAAGCAGATGGGGAAGAGGCTGAGCTGAGCTGGGCTGGGGAACTGGGCCTCTTTGGCCATCCTCTCCCCACCTCCCTAGTTAAGAAGCCAGCTCTAGGTCCAGGATGAGAAGCCCAAGAGGAGGCCTTTAGGGCCACCTAAACATTACCCCTCAATATCACATACTCCAAAGTAAGCCTCTAAGGGCGCCGTCGATGTCACACTCACCTCCGTACCCTTGGCCTAGGGCCACCCAATCTGTGTTTGCATAAAAACCAAAGTCTTCAGGGACGACACTTAAGGCCCTCGCAACCAGCAACCGGTGCCTAGTTTGCATGCCCCAGCCTCATCTCCACTGCTGGTCACACTCCCATTTTCACCGTTCGGGCCAGACGTAGACAGTAGTTGTGGTTTAAATGTTGAGGCATTGTGTTTCTTCTGGCCAAGCAATTCTAATTCTAGGATTGCAATCCTTTTGAAAGAGACACAGGCACAAAAATAAATGTACGAGGACGCGGGTTATGGTAGAGGTTGTCACCAAGTTGTCGCAGGATTGGGGAAAAAAAAACCCAAGTGTTCATCAGCAGGGAAACGTGAAAGAAATTAGGTGTAACCAAATGATGGGGCACTCTCCAGCTTTTAAAAAGAATGAGTTAGACTTTAATGAACTGACATGAAAAGATGTCCTTGGGATATTAGATGAAGACATCAAATTGCAAATGATACGGTACTGGGTATGTGTGTACTTGTTATTCACAGAAAAAGGGTATGAAAGGGTTTATACCCGGAAGTTGGTACTTCTAGGGAATGAGTCAAGAGGTATGGAGGCATCGTGAGGATCAATTTCACTTCTTAAACTCATGTTTTTCAGTATCGTTTGGCTCCTCTACACCATTACTTTTGTAATTAACAATAAGAATCTCTCCTGGGGTATTTGGCTATTTTGGGCAATGGCGCCAATATTCTTCAAGTAGGAAACAGAGCCCCAGGAGGGACCAGCCATTTAACGCTACAGTGAGAATCTTCGGGAATCGGGATAGGAGCACAGCATCAAGGTTTTAAGCAAGATGTAAGCAAGGTGTTAAGGTTTTAGGTGAACTCTGAGAATGATCAGAGGGGTGAATTTTAAGGAACAGTGCAGATACTGGGGTAGGGTGAGGCCAGCCCCAGCTAAGGGGAGGCCACAAAGTCTTGTATCACCCCATCAGTGCCCTCTCCCTCTTCTTGACCACCTATCTCCCCTAGTCCTCCCCTCACTCCCCAATCTGGACCTACTCTCTAGGTGTCGTATGTGGTTTCTTCCTCTCTTCTGCTGCACCTCTCATTCCCTGTCAGTTACTCTTAGCTGACTGCCCCTGGGAGAGATTATACTGCTTTTGCACAGGGGTGAGGAAACTTGGCACTCAACAGGCCACCTTGGTTGGGCGTATATTGTAATATTGGCTGGAGAGCTGTTGAGTGAAGCCATAAGAGCATGAAGGATATGGGATAAATGGCAAACAATCAACACCTGATAAATGTTTGGATCCTTAATGCAACCAAAGATAAAGCGAGGATTAGAGTTGGGATCTCTGGCTCCCTATGGTTTACCCGAATTAGCATGGCCTTCAAAGTCTTCTCACTTGGGTCCCAACCCACTGTTCTGCAGGGCGACTTATCCCATAGGCACAGCAGGCACAGTGCCTAGGGCCCACAACACTTTTAGGGCCCACAAAGTTTTCATTTCTTTTAAAATCAGAAGAAATAAAATGAATACCATCAGCCTGGATTATATTCATTTTTATACCAATGCGGTTGTGAAACGTAATTAAAAAAAATTTTTTTTTTTTTATGAAGACAAAAGGGCCTAGGTCCCATGAAAGTCACAATGCGGTCCCCATCCTCTAGCTTCTACATCCACCACTCCTTCACCCTGATGTCCCCTTGGTTTGTCAGATCCACTTGTACCTTTGTCTCTCTGTGACTCTTCTGAGTCTCGATGGTTGCTTGTGTGGGATCCCACCTAAGGACCCACCCCTGAGGTCAAAGGTCAAATGTCACCATCTTTGTGAGGC